ACATTGATAAATGGCTTCAGATAGAAAGTACTTTTTTGACACAAATATCAATTTGCTGATTTGTGTGCAAACCTTGAGAAGTCTGGTGGAAATAAATGCTTTATCCATTGGATCAAAACACGAAACTAAACATGTCCTTAAGGGACCCATAAATCCCGGTGTTTGGTGTAACGTGGATGTCCGGGAGGAGTGGGTCAATTGAAAGTGTATCATTCACTTCGTTTTCTTCTTTCAGATTTAGAAAAGAAGGTCCAAGATTTAAATCTAAGTAGACAAGAAAAAGCTGATCAATTGAAACAATTGGAAGATCAACTCATTGCCATTAAAAATGAAATCGTTGAGCAAGAAAACAAATATGTGACCTGCTATAGTTAGGCAGAGTTCAAGTGAAAAATCACCTGTGCTTTCTTTGCTGGCTTCTGATGAGCAAACTGCTGTGCTGTGCTGGAGCCTTGCTGAAGCTGGGAAACACAAATGGTCAGCCTCTTCTGCCTCTCTTCCCCCAACCCCTTCCTTGCCGGATGTAGCTGTGCGGTGAAACTTGGCCAAGAAAAAGCCACTTTATCTGTGGAAGAGAAAGGGAGATGTAAAGAGATTGTCTCTGGTTTCAGAAACCTTTACTCTCGCCTTCCTTTCCTTTTCTAACTGCATGACAAGTACAAATCTATAAAGAAGTATTCTACGCACTAATACTCACGTCAGTCAAATGGACGTAGCATTAAATAGATTGCCAGAAGCTGGGGAGTGGGGACTGAGGCGATATTAATTGATGGGCATTAAGTTTCAGTTGAGCAAGATGAGTAAGTTCCGAGTTCTGTACATTATACATATAGTCCACGATTGTGTGTTGCACACTTTAAAAAAGCATTGAGTGTAAATTTCATATTAAATGTTCTTTACATGATAAAATAAATATCTCTAATATTAGGATGGAATAAATATGGATGGTCTCAACTAGATTGTCCTATATTTTATTTTTATTTGGATTTACTTTATCTGTAAAGCTATTATTCTGTTCTGAATACAACGCATACAATTCAAAATGTAATGTGTTTTAACACCTGCTTTCCTTCATGTTGGTTCTCTAAACCAAAGGATTCTGTTTTCCCCAAATGGCACTGATACAATATTTAAGAAGATAAATATTGAGCTACTTTCCCTAATTTGCCTGCAAGCATTTTTGCTGTAAAATCTGCTACTTGTTTTTAAAAGACCAGCAATCATGTAGTTATTGTTTTAGTATAAAAGATCAGATTGTTTCATTTCAAAACGGATCTATGATTTCATATTAACTTGTTTTTGGCATGAATGTTATGTAATTAGAGCACATTGCCACTGTTTGTGAAAGCGCTCCTTCAAAGGGATTATTTTAAGGGAATTTGGCCCCACATTTTTGAATAAGAAATAAGACACATCAATGCTGATGTATGAAAGAGGAAAAGCAGCTGGAGCCATTTCCATCAAGGACTGACTCAAAACAGAAGGATTTAAAAATTCAACAAGGAGGCTTTAGGATGACACACAAATAGGAAATTTCTTAAATGGAGGTTATGAAGGAGAATTGTGGTTTCCCTGGCAATCCTAAAGAATAAAATGAAACTTTTCTGAAGGAAGGACCACCGCAGAAATGTCTCTCGAAATATGTGATGCTCCAGCACTTAGACTTCTGGAAGCCTGCACCAGCAAACAGCACACGGAATGAACCAAATTCGAAGAACATAGCTATCACAAACTACAGTTGTTCACTCCACTACAGGGGGAGAGCACACTCCAGCTTTCCCACTAGGGTACTGACTTTTGACTTTGCATAAATGATTTTACAAAAGTGTGGTTATTGGTTTGCAATAGCTACCTTCGATAGTTCTGCCTTTTTCAGGGGGCAGACTGTGCAAGTAATAGGCAAGAGTGTGTGGAAAGGGTTAAAGAGACAAGGGTTTCTGTCCTCTGACTGACACTATTGAGTTTCGGAGAGACAGAAAATTCCTTGGCCATGAGGAAAGCAAGTGATCTGGGGAATCGTTTGCAAGGGCAAGATAAACCCATCATCCCTGTGCACCTCCAGGGACTGCAGTTTGATGAGGTTAGGCAGTGTGTGATGTACTTTGGAAAAACTGCAAGTAAAAAGTGGTTATGCTTTCTAAGCTTTGGTGTTGAAAATAATAAGATTTGGTTATCTTTTGTAAAATGTACATGTGTGAAAAAATCTCATTCTGCAGTAGCGTCAGATAAATCGTCTTAACTTCTGTTCCTTGTTGTATCAGTTGTTCAAGATGTGACCGAGGCCAAGAGTCAGTGAAACAGTCTCTCATACGTTGCAAAGTAACTTGGCAATGGATAGTGAGATCTCTCCTAAGACCACGTAAACCTGTATATTAAGAAAATAATCTTAAACATGGAGGACCTTGTTGTTTGTCTATTTTTTTTAATGTAGTAGTATGTATCTGTGAATCCCAGACTCCCAGTTTAGCCTCCTACCCCTGCCGTCCCCACCTATCAGGTAACCACAAGTTTGTTTTCTATGTCTGTGAGTCTGTTTTTGTTTCGTAAATAAGATTCTAACCCTCCTACACTGTTGGTGGGAATGTAGTTTGGTGCAGCCATTATGGAAAACAGTATGGAGAGTCCTTAAAAAACTAAAAATAGACTTACTGTATGATCCAGTAATCCCACTCTTGGGCATATAACTGGAGAAAACTCTAATTTGAAAAGACACTTGCACCCCAATGTTCATAGCAGCACTATTTACAATAACCAAGACATGAAAATAACCTAAATGTCCATTGACTGATGACTGGATAAAGAAAATGCGGGTGTGTGTGTGTGTGTGTGTGTATACACACACACACGCACATATACACGCACAAATACTACTCAGCCAGAAAATATAATAATAAAATACGTCTCCCTTTCTCTTCCACAGATAAAGTTTGCACCATTATGCAGCAACATGGATGGACCTAGAGATTGTCATACTAAGTGAAGTAAGTCAAAGACAAATATGTAATATCACTTATGTGTAGAATCTTAAAAAAATAATAATACACATCATAATACATTCTTCATCCCATCTTTTCTTCTAAAACAAAAACAAGTGTTTCCACCAGACATAATGCTGCATTCACTCAGCCGTCTGAAAGCACATCCACCCTGACTTCAAGGGAACCAGCCCAAGGTCCCAGCACTCAGTGCATCCAGCTCTAAGACCGGGTCTCCAGCTGCACTCTGCTCCTTTTCCCCTTCTGTTACAAGTCTCCCCTGATGTACCGAACTCATAATCAAAACAGTACAATTCACTACCAACATACACCAAGTATGGAATAGTTGGGCGGGGAAAAGGGGATAAAAAAGTTAAATATATTTTGTAATGAAAAATATAAGTACATATAAAGCATCACATATTGAGAAACACAGATTAAGTTTGCAGACTTCCCTTCTGCAACACCTCAAGGAGCTCCAGTTGGGGTTTATGATCTTTCTTTACTACTCATTCCACGTCCTGTCTTCGGCAAGCACCTCTTTGCCAGGTAGAGTTACTCAAACCTTCCTGAGGATTCGAAGCCTTGGAAGGTCCTGCATATGTGGGGCAGACTGCTCCTACGTTCTGTTTTCCCCTTGGACGTGGCAGGACTAGAGTCCAAATCCCAGCCACACCCCTCCCAGCTGCCACTGTGTACCAGCAGCTCCGTATCCCTTTAAGAATCAAGATCCATTATGCCGCTTAAAATTATAATCCCCTGCCCCCTATTTTTTGGCCTGTTTATCCTTTAGCATGAGAAACCTGAAAAACTAGGAATTGGTATGTATTCCGACTCAGTGGAACAACTGCTGTGTCATCAAGTTAAAAAAACATACATAGAGACAAGAGCCCAAAGTCGTAGGTACAGGGAGTAAAATGTCGTCTGTGAGTATTTGGCGATAATTGTGAGCAGCAGCACACGTATTTCCATGCTTGGTTTCAGATCTGTAGGATCCTTCGCCAGCTTTCATGGTAGAAAGCATGGCTCTGTCTTCCATCTAAGAAAGAATTTGGTGTAAGTAGCCAAAAACAAGACAAATTAAATAAATTAGAGTGTGTAAAGCACCTACATGTGATAGTCAACTGAGACTATGATTAGAAGGTACCTTTTAACTCTTCCTATAAAATACTTCCATGCATCAACATGCGTACATTTCCTTTGCCTCTATTTTAATTATTCCAGTTATTTCCTGAATTTGAGTTGAGTGAATGCTGAGTCAACTACCCAGCACTGGGCAATCTGTCGAGGTATATGAGAGACCACAGAGAGAAGTCTAGACTGAATTCTGACATCTCAGAGCAGAGGTTGAAGAAGGGCAGGAGCAAGGAGCCAAAGTCACTGGGAATAGTGACCAGGCTAGTAGAGGCTGAGACAGGAAGATTCGATAGCGGGGGGTGAGAGGGTGGCGGGCAGAGAGGACTTAAGACACCGAATGCGAATAGGGAAGGCAGAGCAAGATGGTGCAGCGAGCCAGACAGGTCACATGGGATGCAGGTGGGCCAGTAAGGGTGGGGAAACCCTGTTACCAGAAACCGGGTAGAAACATTTGGAACTCATTTTTGAGTTCATTATGCAGATCAGGGACATCATTAGGACAATCATTATGAAGATCAAGAAACAAGTAACTATGAGGTAGCTGCTGTTGTTCATATAGGAAACAATTCTATGTCTTCTCCTAAATTAGAAGCCAGTCCCAGGTGAAGGGCTGCTCAGGGCTGGTGGGGGGTGGGGTGAGCAAAATTAGCCAAAGCACCTGGGGGCCAAAATCAAGTGAGGGAAAACCCAAAGTAGATCCTGGCGAGAACAAACGAGCCTGGTGGGGAACAGGCTAGAAATTGCTCTTCGACGTCCCACTTCTTTCTTTAGGTGGTGGAGCGCCTCCCGGGTTTCACCAGGCTTGGGGCTGCCTACTTAGTCTGTTTCTCAGCCTCCCTTGCAGTTCAGTAGGACCGTGTGACTAGATTCTGACCAGCAGGACGTTAGTGAGCGTGTTGTGTGCAACTTCAAAGGCACAAGCTTAAAGGAAGCCCTCCTCTGTGGTAGACAGATTAATGCCCCCTCCAAAGGCATCTACAGCCCAATCTCTATAACCTGCTGAGTATATTCTATTACGTGGCAAAGAGCAATGGGGGTTACAGGTGGGATTAAGGTACCAATCTAGAAATCAGCTGACCTTGACAGGCCAATGAGCCTGGATTACCCAGGTGGGCCCAATGGAACCACGAACGCTCATAAACATGGAAGGAGGCAGCGAAAGGGAGAGACGCCAGCGGGAGGAGCTCCGGTGCGGGTGTTGGCGGCTTTGAAGCTGGAGGAGCAGGACCCTGAAGCAAAGCAGGTAAGTGGGCCCTAGAAGCTGGAAAAAGTAAGGAAAGGGATTCTCCTCCACTGGTTCCGGGAAAGAACACAACCGTACAGCTCCTTGATTTTAGCCCAGTGAAGCCTGGGGTGGGGCTTCTAACCCGCGGGAACTGTGAGGTAAAGCCGTGTTGTTTTAAGCCCCTGTGTTCGTGGTGTTTGGTTGTAGCAGCAGAAGGCAATGCGTATACCTTTCATTTGTATTTTCCCCCAGTCATTTGGGCCAGAATACGGTGAGCGAGACGTAACCATGGAGATGAGGATAACGCTGCTGAAGTAACAGGACCAGTCAGGGTTCCAGCAGGAGACAAGGACATATGAGACTGTTCAGTAAAGACCGTCCGGTAAGGAACTGTTGACCAAGATGGGGACAGGGTGGAGGAAAGCCATCAAGCACGGTGCAGCATCAGGCAGGGCTCTCATCGCCCTCGGCGTGGGTGAGGAGAGAGGGTAGAAACCACACACTGAGGACGGAGTGTGTAGGAGGGGCCCTCAGCAGGACCTGTGACCCTTGGGGGACGGATGCAGCCAACTCTGCCAGCCCTGCAGGCGGTCTTGGGGCATAAACGCTCTGCTGGCACACTCCTGCCCATGTCACGTCTCTGGCTAGTGCTTCCCATTAGCTAAATCAAGGGAGCAGATTAATGTGACCAGGTAGATCAGCCTCCCGGGGAACAGAGGAGGGGCAGCACCATCTGGAGAGGCCCAATGACCTTGGGGATTAGAGCTGTCTAGGCCTGCCTCCCCTGCGCTGCTTGCCAGCTTGAACTTGTACGTGATAGAAAAGCAAGCCCCTCCTATTCATATTACTGTGATTTTGGCCTCTTAAAGCAGCTGAACCAACTTCCTTATTAGTACCTCTGGGATGCTAAGGGGACTCCAGCCCATCTC